TATTTACGTAACTAAGGCTAAGTAATAGTTTAATCCGTCTTCTTATCTTTAGTTTAATTCTATTCTCCTAAATATAGTTTTGTTTGTCAAGAATCCCAAAGGTTGGAGGATTGACCCTGCCTAACATTCATCTCTCTCGCTTGAGCTTAAAAACTTGACAAGCTTGGAACTGTTGGACCTGATTAAAAACGAATTTAATGGCTCCATACCAGTACAGAGTAGTGTCAACGTTATTGTGACTGTCTATAGATTCTTACTATAGATGCAGTCTTTATGGTATCTTTCCCCAAGAGTTTTGCTATAGCTTATGTGACACCATAGTGCTGAGAATACTCATTCTCCTTGGAGCAGAGCTTTTATCCAGAAGACGAAAACTTTCTTATCCCAAATTACAGTGGTGAAGAGTGTAAACTGGTCTCTTGAGAGTATATAATCATTTGTTGTAACAATTCCGTTCTGATATACTTGTAATTTGTTCTTCAGCTTGGCGATCTATGTGGCTAAATATGAAACCCAGAAGATACGCTAGCTTGTCCTCTGTTAGAAGCTTATAAGCTTGCAAAATGATTTATAAATTATATACAGTATATAGTTTGGCTACCTACTTTATAAACCCTTGAATTATTACGTGGTATATAAGCTTGAGGGAAAAAAATTGCTTTTAAACTTGGCTTTAAACAAGCTACCAATTTGTGAAAAAAACACGTTTACTATGTAACAAAACCTTACCAACCGTATCTCGTAGAACCCATGCAACTCCTCCCTACTTCTTCTGTTTGGAGAAGGAGAATCCGATGTTGCATTTTAACCAGTTCATTGGAGAAAATGTACCTTTTTCTTATGGCTTTGCTTCTCGTTTAATTTAGGCGTTTTGGGTTATTGTAAGATTCTATAACATTCGATAAAAATCTAGATGACCAAAAAAAAAAAAAAAACTTGAGGGAAAAAATATATATTCCAATATTTCCATATTATCATCCTTTCACTCTATTGCTAAGCAATTTCCTGTGACTTAAAAGCATTTTGGTCGAAGTAAAAGATGCTGACCGCACAATTTCTACGGAGACCTTGACTTAAAAATGCCACACGAATCTCTAAGCTTATCATACGATTCAAAGTAAACGATAGACGACAGTGATCACTCATGCTCCGACTGGGACCTGAATTGACTTTGTAAGTGTGCAATTATTTCCTTGAATTTGGTGTATTCCTCTGGAAATTTAAAGAATCCTTGTAAATTTGGACAAGTCATTTTGGATTATCTTTCATTTGCTTTTATTTTTCGTTTTATTTGCAATGGAAGGGAAGGTGTTCTGGGGAAAATACTTGATATGTGTGATGTTACTGTTGGGGCAGCTACATGGATACCAAAGCTGTGTTGAGAAAGAAAGGAATGCTTTGCTGCAGCTCAAGAAATACTTAGTCTCAATTACTCGAGAAGTTTTTGTAGACGATGTTCTCCCTACTTGGACTAATGACACAAAGAGCAATTGCTGCGGGTGGGATGGCCTTAGGTGCAATCTTACAAGCGGACGGGTGACCGAGATTGCCTTTGACTTGAACTCCAAAGACAATTCTCTCTTTAATCTTTCGTTGCTACATCCTTTTGAAGATGTTCGAAGTCTGAACTTCTCCGGGTCCTTTCTCAGGGGCTTGTTTGATGACGTTGAAGGTATACCAGGCTTTCCCTAGTAGTTAGCTTTTAATATTCTGTTTTTCATTGGAACTTTCATGTTTTCTCTCCTTTAGGGATCTACTTCTCTGAAGAACCTATATGGACTAGATCTTTGCTCATTGTTTCTAATTCTTGAAAGTTAATTATATATTGTTTCTCGTTGCAGGTTATAAAAGCTTGAGGAGATTAAGAAACCTGGAGATTCTGGATCTCTCCTGGAATAATTTCAACAACAGCATCTTTCCCTTACTTAACGCTGCTACATCACTCACAACTCTGTTTCTTAGGGGCAACAACATGGTTGACCCTTTTCCTGTTAAAGGTATGTTTTACCATTTGTATATATATAGCATGTCCTAATTCTTTTAGGGACGATGTATCATTCTTATATTTGTTGGACTCCATTTCAGAACTCAAAGATTTGACAAACTTGGAACTGCTGGACCTGAGTGAAAACAGTTATAACGGCTCCATACCAGTACGAGGTAGTTCATAAATGCTTGCCTTTCTTTTCAAGGGCTATGCTTTCTTACAACATTTGTTGGATTGGTTTGCCTCGTCCTTGAGATGAACATATCCATAATTTGTTATCTTTGTCTGTGGCAGAGATAACTTCGCTCAGGAAGCTGAAAGCTCTGGATCTAAGTGATAATGAATTTTCGGGTTCAATGGATTTGCAAGGCAAGTTTGCTCATATACAATTTCACTTTTTCATATTAAAACAAGAAACAAAAACAAAAAACAAAGGTGAATTCACGATAATCAAAGTGACTAAACTTTTTGCATCTGATTACCGTAGGGATATGCAAATTGAAGAATATGCAAGAGCTCGATCTCAGTCACAACAAACTTGTAGGTCAGTTTCCCTTATGTTTAACTAGCTTGACTGGACTTCGAGTTCTTGATCTCTCATCAAACCAGTTGACTGGGGAGATCCCATCTGCTCTCGGTAACCTTGAATCCCTTGAGTACTTGTCGTTGTTAGATAACGACTTCGATGGCTTCTTCTTACTTGATTGGCTCGCCAAACTCTCAGAGCTTAAAGTGTTGAAACTTGGCTCAAAATCCAACTCTTTTCAAGTAGATTCTAAGAGTTCTTGGAAACCAAAATTTCGGTTGAATGCTATTGTCCTACGATCTTGCAACTTGGAAATAGTTCCTCGTTTTCTCCTACAGCAGAAAGGTTTGAATTATGTTGATCTCTCCGACAATAAAATTTCTGAAAACTTTCCTTTTTGGCTATTGGCGAACAATACAGAGCTCGAAGTTTTGCTTCTGAAGAATAATATTCTTACGAGCTTTCAGCTACCGGAATCTGCTCATGATCTACGTTCCCTTGACGTGTCAGTCAATGAATTCAATCATATGTTTCCTGAGAACATTGGGTTGATACTTCCACATTTACGGTATATGAATATATCGAAGAACGGCTTTCAAGGAAATCTGCCATCTTCTCTGGGTAACATGAGTAGGATTGACACTCTGGATGTATCTCACAACAGTTTCCAGGGAAAGCTACCAAGAAGCTTAGTAAAGGGTTGTTATAACTTGGCTTACTTGAAGTTGTCACATAACAAACTAAGTGGAGAGGTTTTTCCAGAATCAGCAGAGTTATATGATTTACGTTGGCTGTATATGGATAACAATCAGTTTACAGGAAATATTGGACAAGGTTTGCAGAACTTGACATTTTTGCATATCCTTGATATATCGAATAACAATCTCACGGGTGTTATTCCAAGCTGGGTTGGCGAACTTCCAAGGTTATATGCAATACTGCTTTCAAACAACTCGTTGGAAGGTGAAATACCTACGTCGTTGTTCAACAAAACTTTTCTTCTGCTATTGGACCTCTCTGCAAACAGTTTATCTGGGGGATTACCTCCACACGTCGATTCTACATTGCCGGTAATATTGCTCCTGCAAGACAATCATCTATCAGGAGATATTCCAGACACATTGCTGGCAAATGTCAGCATACTTGATCTGAGAAACAACAGATTGTCTGGGAATATACCGGAGTTCATCAACACCCAAAGCATCAGTGTTCTTCTTCTCCGAGGGAATAATTTAACAGGTCATGTTCCTCGTCAGTTGTGTGGCCTAAGAAACATCCAACTTCTGGATCTTGCCAACAACAGATTGAATGGATCCATACCTTCATGTCTCAGCAATACATCATTTGGTTTGGGGAAAGAGGATAATGCATTTCACGTTTCTAATCTCGATCTAGGTATAGAGCGTGTTTATGATGATCCCGATAGATATTTCAAACCTCTTCTTATTGAGCTAGATCCGCTTTATTGGCAAATCGCGGTAGCCACCCAGACGAAAGTTGAATTTGCAACAAAACACCGATATGATGCCTACATGGTGGGTGGAATTCTCAAATATCTGTTTGGGCTAGATCTCTCTGAAAATGAGCTAAGCGGTGAGATTCCAATAGAGCTTGGAGGTCTTCTGGAGATACAAGCTTTCAATCTTTCTCACAACAACTTATCAGGCGTGATACCAGATAGCTTTTCAGGTCTGAAGAATGTGGAAAGCCTTGATCTTTCCTTCAACAGATTACAAGGCCGGATCCCATCAAGACTAGCAGATCTGAGCAGCCTAGCTGTGTTCAATGTCTCATACAACAACTTATCAGGAGTCACTCCCCAGGGAAGACAGTTTAACACCTTCGATATGCAAAGCTACTTAGGTAACCCTCTTCTCTGTGGAAAATCAACCAACACAACCTGCGACAGTAATATCATTCACGCACCAGATAATGTAGTGAAGGACGAAGAAAGCACAATCGACATGGTTTCTTTCTACTGGAGTTTTGCAGCAGCCTACGTTACAATACTTCTTGGAATATTTGCATCTCTCTCTTTTGATTCTCCTTGGAGTAGGTTTTGGTTCTACAAGGTTGATGTTTTCATCCACAAGGCGAGGAATTTGTTGTGGTAAACTACTACTGTTAGTGTGAATTTCATTAATGTGCCCCATCTGTTGCTATTCTTCTCAAAACCTCTTGCTTTGTTTTACAAAACCAGAACATAACATGTTTGGTTCCTCTGTACTGTCTTTGAATAAATGTAATGCCTCAAACATTCCTAGAGCTTGTTTTGAGGTTGATTCAATAAATAATATATTATAATTATGAAGAACAAGAACTTCCATGAAAAAAAAAAAAAAAAACTCATAAGTAGGAAAAAAAATACAGAGACTTTTCCGTTAGTTCTCTTGCTTCTATACCGCTTTATAGTTTTATTTCAGGTAACCATCTCAAGAACTTCAGTCACAATATATGATTATGAATCAGAAGAGCAAAAGAAAGACCAGAGAGAAACACTTAACACAGTTAAAGAGTTAGAGTACGAAGAGTAATTACTAGTGTATATATCTAGTCTTTCTTCAACAGCCTTAGCTACTGGTCCGTGAAAAGCGTTCTTCGCCTTCCTGACTTTGCTTGCAGACGGCCAGTCTCCGCATGTACGATCTCATTCACCAGATCCTTGAAGATAAGCCTCTCCACATCCAGCACCAATCCTGAGATTTCTCCATTGAAGTCCACCCAATTCCCAGACCGAACCATTACATCTTCTGCAAGTATACTTTTCAAGAAGTCGTCTTCTTCCTCCAACAAGAAGTTTTCTGATCTCTTTGTGGCTTGCTTTTGCAGTGTTTCTATCTCTGAACACAGTTCTTTCAGTAGCTGTTGCGCACTCATGGCTTTCTTAGTCATCTTAGTTGATGACTTCATCAATGGATTCATCGTGGCTTCAACCGAAGCTAGTTTCTCCACAAGAATTTCATTAACGGTGGTGTCAAACACAAGTTTGCGGTTGAGCTTCTCCTTGTTCAAAACCTTGCTTTCTTCTTTGTGTAACAGATGCGTAGTGCTGCTTCCCTTTGTCTTGAATGGTTTTTACCTGCAACAAGACTTGTCATACAAAAAACGTCAGTGCATATTTCAAATCTCTGCTCATGCTTGATCCTTTTAGTATGAACTACAAGGCAAGTACTCAGAAAAAAATTTAGTTTGCAACGAAACACAGATACGATGCCTACATGGGTGGAAACCTCAAATTATTGTATGGATTGGATCTCTCGAAAAATGAGCTGAGCGGTGAGATTCCAGTTAAGTTTGGACATCTTCTGGAACTAAGAGCTTTCAACCTCTCTCACAACAAGTTATCAGGAGTGATACCAGAAACCTTTTAAGGTATGAAGAATGTGGAAAGGCTTGATCTTTCTTTCAACAGATTACATGGCCGGATTCCAACACAATTAACAGAGCGAGCAGCCTCTCGGTCATCAAGGTCTCGTACAACAACTTATCAGGAGTCATTCCACAGGGAAAACAGTTTAACACCTTCGATACACAAAGCTTCGAAGGTAATCAACTTCTCTGTGGACAACCAACAAGCAGAAGCTGCAACATTTATGCTACCTTTCAAGAGCCAGATGATGAAGTGGAAGCTGATGAATCCGCAATGGACATGGAATCTCTCTACTGGAGTTTCGCTGCAGCGTATGTGACAATACTTGTTGGAATACTCGCATTGCTCTCATTAGATTCTCCTTGGAGAAGATTGTGGTTCTACATCGTTGATGCTTTTATCTACAAGTTGAGGGATATGTGTTCGGTGTGGTAAAACTACTGTTAGTGTCAAGTCCATTAATGTGCTACTTTCGTTCATGTCCTCATTTGTTGATGTTTGTCATCATATCCTCCTCCTCTGTTACTCATAACCAGAACAAGACATTTGTTATGTTCCTATGTGTTGTCTGTCTTTAATTAAATGTAATGTCTCAAAGGCTCAAGCATATCTTAGAGCTTTGTATGCCTTAATTTTCAGCTTTGTATGATTCTTATATTCGTTGGACTTCCTTTCAGAACTTGGAGATTTAAAAAAATTGGAACTGCTTGACCTGAGTAGTAACAGATTTAACGGCTGCTATGGAGGATTAGTGTCTCGTCAAAATGGCGTCACTGAAACGGCGGCGTTCTCTCATTCTGGCTTTTACATCCTTTTTTTTTTTTTTTTTTTTTTTTTTTTCATTCTTTATTCCGCAAACCTTTAAAAGGCGACTTTTCAAAAAATTACAAGGAGAATTCCCACGCGGAATAAAGAACCTTACATACCCAAGGAATAAAAAACAAGACTTGAAACTCGCATGAAACAAGAACATAGCATGATGACCAGGCGAAAGAAACATAGATAAGATTGAGATGGGAGTTAAGACTGAAAAAATCTGAACCACGTTTGAAGAAACGATTCCGAAGATGACGAAGTACCCTGAGGGAGAATCCGGGGATAGGAGATAGCTTGTCTATCAAGACCAGCTAGCTTGGCTCTAAGCAACAACTGGAGGTCTTTAACGAGGGTACCAGTGGCTTTGGAGACAGCATTATGAAGTCTACTGTTGCGTTCCTTCCAAATAAGATAAACCGCTGCTTGAAAAACCAGAGAGGAAATGTTCTTCAACTTCCGAAGCTGAAAAGGAGATCTAACCCAAGCGACAATACTATCAAGAGAGTAATGAGGGGTGAAACCATAATGGGAAAAAATGGAGTTCCAAAACTCTTTGGAAAAAGGGCAATTGAAGAAAAGGTGCTCTCTAGATTCAGCAGCAGAACCACACAACAAACATTCCGGAGGAACCAACAGTCCCCAACTCCGCAATCGATCTCGCGTTGGAAGCCTATTGCGAAGAATAACCCAAAGTAAGAAAGAATGCTTAGGTATTCTTACCTTAGGCCAAACCGACTTAAACCAAGAAACCGTCGGTGGGGAAGGGTGCAGAAACTTCCACGTTTTCGAAGTAGAAAATATCCCTGGAGGGCTGTCAAGAGAATTGCGCCACAAGAAGAAGTCAGGTTCCAGGGACAGCTCACTGGGAAGATCGGGAGGAAGGCAGGCTCTAAGCAGAGAAAGAATAGGATGACGCCTGCCTGAGATGTTCCAGACACCAAAACGACAAGCTTCAACAACCGTAGACATTAAAGGAAGACCCGTAACACGAGGTCCATTATCACCTGTAAGAGCAGTAAGAGGACCCAAGCTAGTCCAATCATCATGCCAAAATAAAGCCGTGGAACCGGAACGAACATGACATGCTAGAAAAGGTCGAGCTATAATGCGAAGCTTCATGAGCCGTTTCCAAATCCAACTGCCCGATCTCTGAAAGTCAGTGGTCCAAAACAACCTCCCTCTAATAATATTCTGCTTAGTCCACGCAACCCATAACGAACCCGTAGAAGCAAACAAGAGCCAAATGAGTTTCAAACCGAAAACCTGATTAGAATCCTGGATATTTCTCAAACCCAGACCGCCTGATTCCTTAGGAGAACAGACCGAACTCCAAGCAACCTTGGCACTACGCGCAGAGTTAGGAGCTCCACTCCAAAGAAAGGCGCTGCAAATCTTATCAAGAGTATCCAAGCAACTCTTGGGAAGAGGAAACACCGAAGCCCAGAAATTGATAATGCTATGTAGAACAGATTTAACCAACTCCAATCTTCCAGCAAAAGATAATTGCCTCACAGTCCAAGAGGAAATGCGGGAGAGGATTTTATCAATCAAAGGCTGATAATCCTGAGGCCTCAACTTGTGAGGCATCAACGGTAATCCGAGGTATCTGACCGGCAATGCACCTTGAACAAGTCCGAAACGAGAAGCAAGAGACAGAGAGAGTGCCTGATTATTTCCGTCAAGGAATAGACATGACTTGGTAAGATTTAGGGCCAATCCAGACGTTCTCTGAAAAGAAGATAAAATATCCAGAATTCCAACAGGAGAAGATTCAGCCCCATCAAAAAATATAAGCACATCGTCAGCAAAGCTAAGATGAGTAACAAGAGGGTCGCGGCACATCGGATGAGGAGCAAAGAGATTTTCTCTAACAGCTTTATCGAGAAGCTTGGAGAGAATATCCATGACTAAGACGAATAAAGATGAGGAAATAGGGTCACCTTGACGGAGCCCTTTCCTGCCGGGAAAGAAGCCAACAAGCTCACCGTTCACCGCGATGGAATAATGAGGAGATGAAACACAGGCTTTAATCCAAGAGATAAATCGAGGAGGGAGCTGAAAGGCGATGAGAATATTCGAAATGAAGCTCCAATCCACATTATCGTAAGCTTTGGATATGTCAATCTGCAAACACCCTCTAGTTGTATTTCCATCCTTATGGAAGTCAGAAACCAACTCAGAAGCCAAAAGAACATTCTCACAGAGGAGCCGCCCTTTAACAAAACCAACTTGGTTCCTCTGAACTGCAAGGGGAGTAAAAAGCTTCAAGCGATCAGCGAGAATACGAGATATGACCTTGTAGACCGTGTTACAAAGCGAGATAGGTCTGTACTCGGATAACCGCTCAGCTCCAGTAAATTTTGGAATTAGAGAGATAACTGTAGCGTTAACTTGACAGATCAAAGAAGAAGTGATGAAAAAGTCTTGAACTGCGCGGGTTAGATCTCCCCCAACTAAGTCCCAAGAAGAAGTGAAAAATTCCACCGAAAACCCATCAGGCCCGGGAGCCTTGTTCCTTGGCAAGGAAAAAACCGCATTCTTGATATCCTCCGACGAGGGCATTCTGTCTAGCTGAGGATACAAGTGGTCGTCACACCTGAAAGAATGTAAGTCTTGAATTTGAGGAACAGAGAGTGGTTGAACCTCTGGATTAGGAGATTCAAGCAAAGCTGAATAAAAATCCAGAACGTGATTCTTAAGCATTTGCGGATCAGAAATCTTGACACCATCAGAATTCCTTAGGTAATGAATGGAGTTTCGAAGGAGGTTAGCTTTAACAGACTTATGAAACACACGAGTGTTAGCATCTCCTTCAGATAGCCACTTAATTCGTGACTTTTGCCTGAAAAAATTTTCCTCCGCCGCTGCTAGAAAGAGCCAAGAATCCCTCAATCGACGTTCCTCAACAAACAAGTCCTGAGTTGGAGACCGAAGAAGATCACGCTGAACAGATTCCAACAGCTCGAAAGCCTCTTTAGTCCTCATCTGAATATTGCTAAAGCTCAAACGATTCAACTCCTTACAGCACTGTTTAGCGGCTCTGAGCTTCTGATAAAGACTAAACATATGACTCGCAGGAGTAGAGAACCCGTTCCAAGCCTCCTCCAACACTCTACCATAATCTGGGTGAGAGGTGAAGAAGGGGAAGAAAGTGAACCGTGATTTTCTTCTGGATCCTTCGTTTGATAATGATACCAAACAAGGAGAATGATCGGAACTACCAGGAGCGTCAAACAACGCAAGAGAATCAGGGTAAGAACCTTGCCAAGCTTCATTAATAACCACACGATCAAGTTTTCGAGACTTAGGATTATGAGGACATTTATTACTCCAGGTAAAGAAGCAGCCCCGCATAGCCATATCAAAGAGAGAACTAGATGATAAACACTCCTGGAACTCTGCAATACCTTGAACCGGCAAGACACTAGGAGATAGAGAATATGCTTCCGCCATAGATAAGACTTGGTTAAAGTCACCTAATAAGAGCCACGGAGAATGGTTTAGCAGAGGAGAAGACGCTAATTCCTTGATCAAAATCCATAGAGGGATGCGATCCTCTCTTCTGTTAGGAGCATAGATAAAAGCCACAGAGAAAGACTGGTTGGAGGCAGGATTTAGAACACCACAGAGCATAAGATTAGGGGATTTCAGAAAAGTAATAACAGAGAGAAGGGGATTCCATAGAACAACAATACGCCCGTTCTCTGCATCCTCAGAATGATTAGAGTCAAAACGCCACCCTGGGAAGTGCCTGGTCATCAAATCATCAATGTTTGCTTGTTTCACGCGAGTTTCCAAAAAACCACCGATCATAGGTTGGTTAGCGATGAGCCACCGCTTTACAGCTAAAAGTCTTGAATTGCCATTAAGGCCTCTTACGTTCCAACAAAAACACTTCATATAGAAGTCAAAAAAGGGGGAGTGCATCACACTCAGAGGGCCAAAATGTGAGCAGATCGCTTGCGCGAGTGCCCACTTAAAGAAGGACCAGGAACAGACGAAGCTGATCTGGAAGAAGCCAAAGAAACCGGACGATCGATATTAGAACCAGGGGAAGAGGAGGAGAGCAGCAGAGACTTCTGACGAAGGTTTTTCCTTGCTTTCCTTCTAGCAGCAGCTGTAATCAACGGAGGGGCAACCACTTCCAGATTAGCAATTCTCTTCCGGATAATAGCTTGGGCTGATTGAATGAGCTCCTCTTCCGCAGCGAACTGAGAGTTGGTAACCGAAGCAGCAGGAGGACGCTCTTCAGTATTAGCCGAGGAGAGACGAGGAACTGAGGAGCGACGAACCACCTTAGTCCATACCCCAGAGATATTAGCATCAGAGCCGCTATGATTTTCAAAAGAAGCGGGGACAGCCCGAGGAGAAGATGGTAAACTCTTGGAAATTCGAATCTTATGAGGAGACGAAGGACGACTAGCAAAGGAACCCTGACAAACTTGCACATCAGCGACTGAAGAGGAAGACCCTTCAGGGGAGGTAGCCGGAGAAAAATCATTTGAAGGAGATTGATTTGAGTTATTCGGGCAAACGGCAGCTTTAACAACAGGAACTGGGCATCGCATCTGGAAGTGACCAAATTCACCACAAGCAGCACATTTGGGAGGGAGTTGAAGGAATTCCACTGAGACAAGAACAGTATTCTGCATCTTATCAGAAACACGCACAAACGGAGGAGGAGTTTTAGCAAGTTCAACCACGATCTTAAGCTTAACAACTCCATTTGAATATGGTCGAATATTCGGAAACTCTGAATGAACTGGGAAGCCAACTCCAGAAGCGATGGTGCTAAAACCTTGAGAAGACCATAATTCCTGAGGAACATTGCGAAAGAGAACCCACACCGGAGCAAAATCCAGCTTCGAAGAGCCCAAAGTAGCAGAGGAAGACCATTCGGACAACGAAAAAGAACAGTTACGGGAGTGCCAAAAGCCGATATCGAGAGCCCATTTCCGCGTGGCCTCACACGGAATGAGAATGAGAAAAATACCAGGGGAGTGATACTTAATAGAGATTCTGCCCTGTTTACCCCAGATTGGGTTCAGATCCGAGAAGATCTTAGCAATGGAGGGAGGAGAACCATGAAATTGAGCAACAAGATGATTTTTCCAAAGCTGAGATGATTTAAGAATAACTGAATCTGGAGCTTTCATCTGGGGAATTCCATCTTCAGAAACAACTGGAGAGCCGACCTTAGAGAGAGTCAAAAAAGTCGATTTGAATTTGGAAGCCCAAGAAGGAAGAGAGTCCTTTGACGAAGCAAGAGGTGGAATATTGGGAGATGAGAGCCTTGGAGAAAGAGGGGCAGAGCAAGAAGGAAGAACCGACAGATCCGCCGCCGGAGCCGAAGGACGATCCAAGGGAAGGGGATCAGGGGAAAGAGGACCGGAAGAGCCAACGGGAGAGGAGGAAGGTGGATCCGGCCAAGGAAGGAGGAAAAGCAGGTCTTGAGGCACCGATGCGACCGGATCTGGAGGTTTAGAAGCCATACAGAGAGAAGATAAGGGAGGAGAGGTTTCTCGGCGGTTAGCGTGAGACGTAACCGACGGCGGCGTTAGGAACGAACCCTAATCACCTAAGCGCCGGAGAAGGCGAGAGCTTTTTTAGTGTATTATCAATTTTTTTTTTGTTTGTTTCAGACGAAATCAATCAGCAAGACCGTTGGGGTTAGAAATTCATTCATTGAATAATTTCGTTGTATTAACTTTTAAGCGTAGCCAGTATGGAGGTAATTTCAAAACAAATTCTTGTCTAGCAACCTGTTTTTACTTTAATTTGCCTCCATACTTACCTTATCTTGAATTTGTACAGTTACGAGTGTTTTCTACAAAGACCTTGACTTGTCTTTACCATACTATTCAAAGTAAACGATAGCGATCACTCACTTAACGCATGTCACATGACTTTTAGGTGTGTTTTTTTCATTAACAGAGACTTGGACTTTTTCTAAATATACAGAATCATTTCTTGTTGAATTTGCATTGAACTTCACAATCCCACGTTCGTTTTTGGAGTTTGCTTTTCTATTATTGTGTTATTTGTAATGGAGCGGAAGTTTTTCTTGGGCCAATATTTGATATGTGTGATATTACTGTTGGGGCAGCTACATGGATACAAAAGCTGTATTCAGAAAGAAAAGTTGGCTTTGTTGGAGCTCAAGAAATACATAATCTCACAAAGTAGGCTACCCGATTTCGTTCTCCCTACTTGGACTAATGACAGAAGGAGCGATTGTTGCCGATGGGAGGGCCTTAAGTGCAACCGCACAAGCGGACGGGTGACTGAGATTGTGCTTAGTGATTTGTTCCTCAAAGAGAGCTCTCTCTTCAATCTTTCTTTGCTGCATCCCTTTGAAGAGGTTCGAAGTCTGAACTTTTCAACGCTAGTGGGAGGAAGTTGCTTCTTCGATGATGTTGAAGGTATTTACCAGGTTTTCCTTTGCATTGGAAGTTCTTATGTTTCCTGTGTTTAGGGTTCTACTTCTTTAACGAACCTTTATGGACTAAATCATACTTGATTGTTTCAAATTTTCATGCAAGTCACTTGCTCATGTCTGTGTGCACCATGTTGCGTGTTGCAATCACATCAGACGGTGACTTGCATCCCTTCACATGAAAGTCATAATAATTGATTGAGATATGTTATCAGTATTTATATGCTTAGCAAGATTCTCATTTGCAGGGTATAAAAGCCTAGGGAAGTTAAGTAGCCTCAAGATTCTGGATCTCTCAAGAAATAAATTCAACAACAGCATATTTCCCTTTCTTAATGCCGCTACATCACTTACAACTCTTTTTCTTCGGGAAAACAACTTGGATGGCCCTTTTCCTGCTAAAGGTATGTTTTTTTTTTTTCCATTTGTAATTGTGTGGAAACACAGGATGGCCTCATTATTGATGATGTCTTTGTACGTTAGTTCGATCCAATAATTATAATTATTGTTATAACTTCAAGTCCTATATTTGTTGGATTTGCTTTCAGAACTTAAAGATTTGACAAACTTGGAACTGTTGGACCTGAGTAGTAACAGATTTAATGGCTCCATACCAGTACAAGGTAGCTCAGAAATTTTTAGCTGATTCAATGGCTGCATAACCCTTTGTTTTTAATTGGCTCGTGCAATCTTTGAAACCATGATGTTCGTAGGTAAAGGTGCTTATCTTTGTGTTGGCTTTGTCTTGTGGCAGAGTTATCTTCCCTGAGGAAGCTGAAAGCTCTGGATCTAAGTGGTAATGAGTTTTCTGCATCAATGGGATTGCAAGGCAAGTCAAAACATATCTTTAGCTACTCCGTTAAAACTGGTGGTGAATTAACGTTTATTCATGTGTATAAATTTTTTGCATTTGATTATCGTAGGGATTTGCGAAATGAAGAATATGCTAGATCTTGATCTCAGTCGAAACAAACTAGTAGGTCAGTTTCCCTTATGCTTAACTAGCTTGAGTGGACTTAGAGTTCTTGATCTCTCATCAAACCAATTGACTGGGAATGTGCCACCTGCTCTCGGTAACCTTGAATCCCTCAAGTACTTATCGTTGATTGATAACAACTTCGAAGGCATCTTCTCACTTGGTTCGCTTGCCAACCTCTCAGAGCTTGGGGTTTTCAAACTTGGTTCAAAATCCAAATCACTTCAAGTAGAGTCTGAAAGTTCTTGGAAGCCAAAATTTCATTTGAGTGTTATTGAACTACCATCTTGCAACTTGGTAAAGGTTCCTCATTTTCTCGTATACCAGAAGGATTTGCGTCGCATTGATCTCTCCCACAATAATGTTTCTGGAAATTTTCCTTCTTGGCTATTGGCAAACAATACGCAACTCAAAGTTTTGTTTCTACAAAATAATTCGTTTACGAGCTTTCAGCTACCGAAATCTGCTCATAAGCTACTTATCCTAGATGTGTCAGCTAATGAATTCAGTCATCTGCTTCCTGAGAACATTGGGTGGATACTTCCTCATTTACGGTATATGAATATCTCCAAGAACGGGTTCCAAGGAAATATGCCATCTTCTTTGGGTAATATGGAGAGGATTCAATATCTGGATATATCTCACAACAACTTCCAAGGGAAGCTACCAAGAAGTTTTGTAATGGGTTGTTATTCCATGGTATCTTTGACGCTGTCACATAACAACCTAAGTGGAGAGATTTTCCCGGAATCAGTCAACTTTACTGATATATCGGAGCTGTCTATGGATAACAATCAGTTTACAGGAAAGATTGGAAAAGGTTTGCGTAGCTTGAGATACTTGGAATTGCTTGACATTTCGAACAACAATCTCACGGGTGTTATTCCAAGCTGGATTGGCGAGCTTAAATCCTTAGTTGTAGTACTTGTTTCAAACAACTCGTTGGAAGGTGAGATACCTGTTTCGTTGTTCAACAGAAGATTTCTTCAGCTACTGGATCTCTCTGCAAACAATTTATCTGGGGGCATACCTCCACACGTCAATTCTAGGTATCCCGTAGCGTTATTCCTGCAAGACAATAAGTTATCAGGGGTCGTTCCAGACACATTGCTAACGAATGTCACTGTACTTGATCTGAGAAATAACAGATTGTCTGGGAATATTCCCGAGTTCACCAACAACCGAAACACCCATACTCTTCTTCTCCCAGGGAATAATCTAACAGGCAGCATTCCCCACCAGTTGTGTGGCCTAAGAAACATCCAACTTCTTGATCTTTCAAACAACAGATTGAATGGATCCATACCTTCATGTCTCAGCAATACATCATTTCTTCTTGGGAAAGAAGAGGATATAATTTATGATTATGATTACGGCCGTATTAACCAGCTTGATCTTGCGGGTGGTTTCCAAGATCCGTTCAAATTTCTTATTGTGCTAGATCCGTTTAGTATGGTATACGGGCCAATCATCCAGCTTAAGATAGAGTTTGCAACTAAACACCGATACGATGCCTACGTGGGTGGAGTTCTCGTATTATTGTTTGGAATGGATCTCTCAGAAAATGAGCTGAGTGGTGATATCCCTGTAGAGCTTGGAGGTCTTCTGGAGATACAAGCTCTCAATCTTTCTCACAACAACTTATCAGGCGTGATACCAGATAGCTTTTCAGGTCTGAAGAATGTGGAAAGTCTTGATCTTTCCTTCAACAAATTACAAGGCCGGATTCCACCAAGACTAGCAGATCTGAGCAGCCTAGGTGTGTTCAATGTTTCATACAACAACTTATCAGGAGCCATTCCCCTGGGAAGACATTTTAGCACCTTTGATACACAAAGCTTCCTCGGTAATCCTCTTCTCTGTGGGCAACCAACCGACATAAGCTGCAACGGTAACACCATTCAAGCACCAGATAATGTAGCCAGAGATGAAGAAAGCACAATCGACATGGTTTCTTTCTACTGGAGTTTTGCTGCAGCCTATGTTACAGTACTTCTTGGAGTACTTGCATCTCTCTCTTTTGATTCTCCATGGAGCAGATTTTGGTTCTACACGGTTGATGCTTTCATCCACAAGGCGAGGAATTTGTTGTGGTAAACCATTATTGGTGACAAATTCTTATATTGTCCCCATCTGTTTCTATTCTTCACAAGACCTCCTGCTTTGTGTAGCCAACCAGAACATTACTTGTGTTTGGTTCCTATGTACTGTCTTTGTCATTGTCTATGAATAAATGTATTGTCTCAAACATTTCTTTGTTCCTGAGTAGCTTATTGGTTGGTTTACTAAAAAATCCTCAGAAATCAGGAACTTGCAGGGAACAATTTTAAGGTAGAAAAGAGTGCAGACCCAAGAATGAAATAAATACAGAGAATTTTCCATTATACCGCTTTACTGATTTTCTTCAGGTAACCGTCTCAAGAACTTCAGATATTACAATAACATACCATATGGATACTAATTCATTATCCTGTTGTAGAATACAAATGAGTCAAATGAGCATATGAATCAGCAGAGAAATAGAAAGACCAGAGAGAAACATAGAACATAGCTAAAAGAGTTAGAGAAAGAGGATGTGAAACGATAGCGTTTTGCGTTATTCCCTTGTTTCTGACGTCGCCAACTGAGAAAGCCACGTCAGCAACTCATTTGGCAGAGAATTTCATGGTTAGATTTTTTATTTTTATTTTACCAGAATCTCATTCATTCTTATGCAGAAAATTAATTATCAGCTGAATTACTCAACAAGCTTTACGTTGCTAAAAGATTAACATACCTGATACAAGGAATATATATACGTAACTAAGACTAAGTAAAAGATTCGAGGGGGCAATTCAGGGCTATTACAAAGAGTATAGTTTTGTTCTTCCAGAATCCCAAAGATTTGGGGATTAACCCTGCCTAACATTCATCTCTCTCGCTTGACCGGATTTTTTGAAAATATTAAATCATTGTCACTCTTTTTAACTTTTGTTCCCCTTCACATTGTACTTGAAATACAGCAATTGGCTATTGCACACTGTAAATAGTACTCTTGAGGATGAGGAAATTGTAGTTGGCTAATGTATACAATTTTTATTTGTTAGTTGTGATAAAGCTTCGTAAGAGTTGATAATGCGAAGCACGCCACAGGCACAAGTATGTTATATGATATGAATGCTTCTCCACAGAAGATATTGTATTTTCTTATGCACCATAATTGGTGTTTTCCAATTCCTCTATGTTTAATACTTGTAAACATAAATTCTTTGTTTTTCCTTTTTAATCTCTGATTATAATTCTCTTGGCTCAAACCAATAGAAGGGAAGCTATTCTTGTCTGAAAACTTGATATGGGCGATGATACTATATATCACAAATAACATCAAAAACTCATTCTTCACATTTTATTCCTAAGTTCACACAGTTCAACATTTACACGTAAAAAATATGATAACTGAAGTGATCAGTGTAGGCTATGTTATTTTGTATACATTGTTTAATAATTTTTTTTTTCTTTTTTGCAGGTTATAAAAGCCTGAAGAGATTAAGGAACCTGAAGATTATGGATTTTTCTTCAAGTGAATGCAACAACAGCATCTTTCCCCTTATCATCCTTAGCTTTATTGCTTAGTACCCAGCAAATTTTCTGTGACGTAATGCATTGGTCGAAGTAACAGATGCTGACCGCACAATTTCTACGGAGACTTTGACTTTATATGCCAAACGAATCTCTAAGCTTATCATAACGACTGAAAGTAAACGCTAAACGACAGTGATCACTCACGCTCCAACTGGGACCTGAATTGACTTTGTAAGTGTGCAATTATTTCCTCGAATTTGGTGTATTCCTTTGGAAAAATTTGAAGAAATCTTGTAAATTGTGGAGGTACTTGCATTGAGCGGACAAGTCACTTTGGATTATCTTTCATTTGCTTTTATTTTTCGGTTTGATTTGCAATGGAAGGGAAGGTGTTCTTGAGAAAATACTTGATATGTGTGATGTTATTGTTGGGGCAGCTATATGGATACAAAAGCTGTGTTGAGAAAGAAAGGAATGCTTTGTTGGAGCTCAAGAAATACATAATGTCAATTAGTAAAGAGGAGGAGCCCGACTATGTTCTACCTACTTGGACTTATGACACAAAGAGTGATTGCTGCGAGTGGGATGGCGTTACGTGCAACCAAACAAGCCAACATGTGACCGAGATTGCCTTTGGTACACTGAACCTCAAACAGAGTTCTCCTCTTAATCTTTCTTTGTTGCATCCCTTTGAAGAAGTCCGAAGTCTGAACTTATCCAAGTCCAGATTCAGTTATTTATACCCGATCGAAGAGAGAGGATTCCAGGGAGAGACAAACAACCTTTTCGATGACTTATTTGACGATGTGGAAGGTATACCAGGCTTTCTCTAGTGGTTAGGTTTTAACATTTGGTTTGTTATTGGAGCTTTTGATCTGTTCCTTGCATTAGGGGTCTACTTCTCTAAATAACCTAATGCATTTATTTCGTGATATGTCTGTGTCCCATGTTGCATTCTCGTCACACGTTCACTTACTTTCCCTTTCCCCGTGCATAGAGTTCATCTGGATGCATACTAAGCGATTGGATTAAGATATGCTAATCATTAATTATATGCTTAACCAGATTCTTCTGTGGGTTTATCCAAAATAAAAGCTTCGTTTTTCAGGTTATAAAAGCTTAGGGAGATTAAGAAACCTGGAGATTCTGGATCTCTCTTCAAATAAATTCAACAACAGCATCTTTCCCTTTCTTAATGCCGCTACATCACTTACAACTCTTTTTCTTCGCGATAACTACTTGGATGGCCCTTTTCCTGCTAAAGGTATAATTTTGTTTGATCGATTCAGTTTATAATGCTATAATTCTATATGTCTTAAATTCAAGTTGTATAATATTCAATTATATTTGTTGGCCTCCATTTCAGAACTTGGAGATTTGATAAACCTGGAACTGCTGGACCTGAGTATTAACAGGTTCAATGGCACCATACCAGTACAAGGTAGTTGTCCGTAAATGTTTTTTTTTTTTTTGTTCCTAAGGTGATAGGTCAATCAATTCAATGGCTACGTACAACATTGTTGGATAATTAGTCCCTTGAGGTGAACATGTTCGTATATTTAAAACTGTTTACCTTTGTATGGCAGAGCTATCTGCCCTGATGAAACTGAAAGCTCTGGATCTAAGTGATAATGAATTTTCTGGCTCAATCGAATTGCAAGGCAAGTTTACTCAAGTATCTCACGTTTTTGATTAAAAAGAAGCTGTGGGTTGAATTCACGCTCAAGTAAATGACTTAAAGCTTCTGCGTTTGATTAACGTGTAGGGATCTGCAAATTGAAGAATATGCAAGAGCTTGATTTAAGTCGAAACAAACTTGTAGGCCAGTTTCCCATATGTTTAACTGGATTGACTGAACTTCGAGTTCTTGATTTGTCATCAAACCAATTGGATGGGAATGTGCCATCTGCTCTTGGTAACCTTGAATCGCTTGAGTACTTATCGTTGTTTGATAACAACTTCGAAGGAATCTTCTCACTTGGTTCGCTCTCCAACCTCTCAGAGCTTAGAGTGTTAAAACTTGGTTCAAAGTCCAACTCACTTCAAGTGGAGTCTGAAGATTCTTGGAAGCCAAGATTTCGGTTAAATGCTATTGTACTAGGATCTTGCAACTTGGACAAGGTTCCTCATTTTCTCCTACAACAGAACGGTTTGCGTCATGTTGATCTCTCCGACAATAAAATATCTGGGAATTTTCCTTCCTGGCTGTTGGTGAACAATACAGAACTCCAGGTTCTGCGTCTACAGAATAATCATCTCAAGAGCTTTCAGTTACCAAAATCCACTCATGGTCTGGCTTTACTGGACGTGTCTGTTAATGATTTCAATCATCTGTTTCCTGAGAACATTGGGCGGATACTTCCTCAGTTAGTGTTTATGAATATATCAAGTAACGGTTTTCAAGGAAATCTGCCATCTTCTCTGGATAACATGATGAGTGAGATTACAAATCTGGATCTATCTCACAACAGCTTCCATGGGAAGATACCAAGAGGTTTCTTGAAGGGTTGTTATTCCATGAATATTTTGAAGTTGTCACATAACAGACTAAGTGGAGAGGTTTTTCCAGAAGAAGTTGATTTTTTTGGTATATTGGAGCTGTATATGGATAACAATCAGTTTACAGGAAATATTGGAAAAGGTTTACGGAGCTTGACATCTTTGAGTATGCTTGATATTTCGAACAACAATCTCACTGGTGTTATTCCAAGTTGGATCAGCGAACTTTCATCCTTAAATGCACTGCTGCTTTCAAACAACTCGTTGGAAGGTGAAATACCTATTTCCTTGTTAAACATGACCAATCTTAATCTACTTGACCTCTCTGCAAACATTTTGTCTGGGGAGATACCTCCACACGTCAAATCCTCAAGCCCGTTAGTATTACTCCTGCAAGACAATAAGTTATCAGGGGTCATTCCAGACACATTGCTAACGAATGTCACTGTACTTGATCTGAGAAACAACAGATTGTCTGGGAATATTCCCGAGTTCATCAACACCCAAAGCATTGGTATTCTTCTTCTCCGAGGTAATAATCTTACAGGCCGTATTCCTCGCCAGTTTTGTGGCCTAAGCAACATCCACCTCCTGGATCTTTCCAACAACAGATTGAATGGATCCATACCTTCATGTCTTAGCAATACATCATTTGGTTTGTGGAAAGAGGACGCATTTTACTTTTTTGATTTCTCTTTCGGTGACAATCCTATTAGTTTCGAGGTTGGTTATGCTCTGGAACAGGATTCCACTTCCACAAAAGGTGTTGGTAGATATTTCAAGTCTCTGCTTATGCTTGATCCGTTCAATATGGATTACAAGGCAATCACACAGACGAAAATTTATTTTGCAACAAAACACCGATACGATGCCTACATGGGTGGAAATCTTCAACTGTTCTTTGGAATGGATCTTTCACAAAACGAGCTGAGCGGTGAGATCCCATTTGCGCTTGGAGATCTTCTGAAACTACATGCACTCAATCTTTCTCACAACAACTTATCAGGCGTGATACCAGACAGCTTTTCAAGTCTGAAGAATGTGGAAAGTCTTGATCTTTCCTTCAACAAATTACAAGGTCGGATCCCATCAAAACTAGCAGGACTGAGCAGCCTAGCTGTCTTCAATGTCTCGTTCAACAACTTATCAGGAGTCATTCCACATGGAAAACAGTTTAACACTTTTGATACGGAAAGCTATTTAGGTAATCTTCTTCTATGTGGACAACCAACAAACAAAAGCTGCAATGGTAATACAATTGACGCACCGGATAATGTAGAGGAAGACGAAGAAAGCACAATCGACATGGTTTCTTTCTACTGGAGTTTTGCTGCAGCCTATGTGACCATACTTCTTGGAACATTCGCGTCTCTCTCTTTTGATTCTTCTTGGAGCAGATTTTGGTTCTATATCGTTGATGATTTCATCCACAAGGTGAGGAATCTGTTGTGGTAAACAATTTCTTATATTGTTGTCCCCTTCTGTCTCTGTTCTTCTGAAAACCTCTTAATAACATGTTTGGTTCCTCTGTATTGTCTTTGAATAAATGTAATGCCTCAAACAATCCTAGAGCTCGTTTTTTTTTTACATCTATCTTTATTTCCTAGTTCTCGTTATGTGGTTGGTTCAATAAATAATATCATAATTATGAAATACAAGAACTTGCATGGAAAAAAAAAAACTCAAAAGTAGGAAAAAAAAAAGAATACAGAGAGTTTTCCGTTTATAGTAAGAAGTTCTCTTGCTTCTTTTAAGAGTCTCCGCATGTACGATCTCATTCACCAGATCCTTGAAGATAAGCCTCTCCACATCCAGCACCAATCCTGAGATTTCTCCACTGAAGTCCACCCAGTTCCCAGACCGAACCATCACATCTTCTGCAAGTATACTTTTCAAGAAGTCGTCTTCTTCCTCCAACAAGAAGTTTTCTGATCTCTTTGTGGCTTGCTTTTGCAGTGTTTCTATCTCTGAACACAGTTCTTTCAGTAGCTGTTGCGCACTCATGGCTTTCTTAGTCATCTTAGTTGATGACTTCATCAATGGATTCATCGTGGCTTCAACCGAAGCTAGTTTCTCCACAAGAATTTCATTAACGGTGTCAAACACAAGTTTGCGGTTGAGCTTCTCCTTGTTCAAAACCGATGCGTAGTGCTGCTTCCCTATGTCTTCAATGGTTTTCAACTTTTCTGTGGGCAACCAACAAGCAGAAGCTGCAATACCTTTCAAGAACCAGATGATGAAGTGGAAGGTGATGAATCCGCAATCGACATGGAATCTTTCTACTGGAGTTTCGCTGCAGCGTATGTGACAATACTTGTTGGAATACTCGCATTGCTCTCATTTGATTCTCTTTGGAGAAGATTGTGGTTCTACATCGTTGATGCTTTCATCTACAAGGTGAGGAATCACTTGTGGTAAAACCAGTATTGGTGACAAATTCTTCATAAATGTAATGCTTCCACATCAAATCACCCAACTTTTTCATTTGGAGAAAAGAAAAGAGTATGTATTTATTATACTTTTATCAAGCAAAACCCCTCTTCGCCATTGGATCTCTCTTCGTTTCGTCTCGCTCTCATTCTCATCTCAACACAACACACTTTACAAAAGAGAAAAAAAAACCTTTAAGTCACAGAAAACGGTGATATCCGCCGTTTCACAATGGCCATCGCGTCGCGACTGCCGTTATCTTCATATCCGCCGCCGTTTTTAGCGCGTCTTCGTCTCACCTCCTTCTTACTTCACGGTGGCGATCGCTGGACGGATACTTCAACAATCGCCATTGGAAAATCTACGGTTTTCGCTGAGACAACTGAATTATGTGAAACGACAGCGTTTTCGTTATTCCCTTGTTTCTGACGTCTCCGACTCAGAAACCCACGTCAGCAACTCATTTGGCAGAATTTCAATTCATGGTTAGATATATTTTTATTTTTTTTCCCAGAATTTCGTTCGTTCATTCTCAGAAATTTAATTATCAGCTGAATTACTCAACGAGCTTTACGTTGCTAAAAAGATTAACGTACAAGGAATATTTACGTAACTAAGGCTAAGTAATAGTTTAATCCGTCTTCTTCTCTTTAGTTTAATTCTATTCTCCAAAATATAGTTTTGTTTGTCAAGAATCCCAAAGGTTGGAGGATTGACCCTGCCTAATATGCATCTCTCTCGCTTGAGCTTAAAAATTTGACAAACTTGGAACTGTTGGACCTGAGTAAAACGAATTTAATGGCTCCATACCAGTACAGAGTAGTGTCAACGTTATTGTGACTGTCTATAGATGCTTACCATAGATGCAGTCTTTATGGTATCTTTCCACAAGAGGTTCGCTATAGCTTATGTGACCATATTTCTGGGAATACTCAGCTTCACTCCCTTTTGATTCACCTTGGAGCAGAGCTTGGTTTAGTGTTGTTGAGGCTTTTATCCATAAGATGAAAACTTTCTTATCCCAAATTACAGTGGTTAAGAGTGTAAGCTGGTCTCTTGAAAGTATATAATCATTTATTGTGACAATTCCGTTCTGATATACTTGTAATTTGTTCTTCAGCTCGGCGATCAGTACTCCCTGATTCTTAATCGCTTTTTTTGTTTTAATTCTATTACAGAATATCTAATATTGGTCATTAACTAATAAATTATATACAGTATATAGTTTGGCTACCTACTTTATTAACCCTTGAATTATTACGTGGTATATAAGCTTGAGGGAAAAAAAATGCTTTGAAACTTGGCTTTAAACAAGCTACCAATTTGTGAAAAAAAAGCCCGTTTACTATGTAAAAAAACTTACCAACCCTGTCTCGTAGAACCTATGCAACTCCTCCTTACTTCTTCTGTTTGGAGAAGGAGAATCCGATGTTGCATTTTAACCAGTCCAGTGGCTTTGCTTCCCTCGTTTAATTTGGGCGTTTTGGGTTATTGTAACTTGTAAGTTTCTATAACCTTCGATAAATATCTAGATGACCAAAAAAAAAAAAGCTTGAGGGAAAAATATATATATTCCAATATTTTCCATATTATCATCCTTTAATTCTATTGCTAAGCAATTTTCTGTGACTTAAAAAGCATTTTGGTCGAAGTAAAAGATGCTGACCGCACAATTTCTACGGAGACCTTGACATTATATGCCAGACGATTCTAAGTAAACGCTAGACCACAATGGTCACTCATGCCCCGACGACTGGGACCTGAATTGACTTTGTAAATGTACAATTATTTCCTCGAATTTAGTGTATTCCTCTGGAAATTTGAAGAATTCTTGTAAATTTTGGAGGTACTTGCATTGAGCGGACAAGTCACCTTGGATTATCTTTCATTTGCGTTTTTTTTTTCGGTTTATTTGCAATGGAAGGGAAGGTGTTCTTGGGAAAATACTTGATATGTGTGATGTTACTGTTGGGGCAGCTACATGGATACCAAAGCTGTGTTGAGAAAGAAAGGAATGCTTTGCTGGAGCTCAAGAATTACTTTGTCTCAATTACTCGAGAAGTTTTCGTAGACGATGTTCTCCCTACTTGGACTAATGACACAAAGAGCAATTGCTGCGGCTGGGATGGCCTTAGGTGCAATCTTACAAGCGGACGGGTGACCGAGATTGCCCTTTCTGGCACCTATCCCTTTCTGACAATCTTAAAAGAGAATTCTCTCCTTAATCTTTCGTTGCTACATCCTTTTGAAGATGTTCGAAGTCTGAACTTCTCCGGGCACCTTCTCAGTGGCTTGTTTGATGACGTTGAAGGTATACCAGGCTTTCCCTAGTAGTTAGCTTTTAATATTCTGTTTTTCATTGGAACTTTCATGTTTTCTCTCCTTTAGGGATCTACTTCTCTGAAGAACCTATATGGACTAGATCTTTGTTCATTGTTTCTAGTTCTTGAAAGTTATTGTTTCTCGTTGCAGGTTGTAAAAGCTTGAGGAGATTAAGAAACCTGGAGATTCTGGATCTCTCTTATAATGAATTCAACAACAGTATCTTTCCCTTTCTTAACGCTGCAACATCACTCACAACTCTTTTTCTTAGGGACAACTTCATGGTTGACCCTTTTCCTGTTAAAGGTATGTTTTCCCATTTGTATATATAGCATGTCCTAATTCTTTTAGGGATGATATATTATTCTTCTACTAGGGATTAACCCGCGCTATATATTTTTTATCATTAATTAATTTAAATAATTTTATGAAACAGTTATTTTGTAAAAACAGTTATTGTTATAAAGTTTACAATAATATAGTGCATATTTTTATGAATTTTAAATAATGAATTGATCTGTATATATATATATATATATATATATTTGAATTATAAAAAATAAGTTAATCCGTATATGAAATTATTTTATAAGCGTGTAAAACAAAATAAGTTGTTTTAATTTCGTTGGTACTAAACTAAAATATTAATTAGGCTAATATATAAAAATTATAATATTATAATCATCAACTCTAATTTGCATCGTTTAATAATTGACATTTATAATCTGTTCACAAACTATAAAAATTTAATTTTATCTTTTTAACTATATATGAAAATAATATAATATTCTTTACACTTAGGTTTGATATACAATAAATAAATATATAACAAATTATATTTAATTTTAAAAATAAATATAATTTAGTAGATTGAATATATTACCTATTTTAAAAAATTAATATTTTGAATTTTGAGATTTTTTGTGGGTATTAAAAAATTAAAATTATAATCTATTCATATCGAACTAACCATTTACTTAACATGTTTGTATTGGATAAAAATTTAATAATTAATTATAATATTCACCGTTCAATAACTCTTATTTTACCACAAACTTTTTTTATTTAAAAATCAATTTTTTTATATCAAAATTTTAGTAAAATAACTAAAAATGTATTTTTGTATATAATCAATCAAATGTAGCAAATTATTGAAAAAAAATACTTCACCACTTTTTTAATATCATAACTTTTAATTTTGACTTTTATAATATTTCTAATTCAAAAATTGATTTTCACGTTTTTTAATTAAAATATACTTTATAATATCATTTGAAAATAAAAATAATAAAAATACTATCATATTTTTAAATTTAGAAATTAAATAATAAATATACTCTATTAAATGAGAAATAAAAATTTTCCATATTTTTAGCAATAGAGTTGAAAGACAACTATATCATTTTCTATTTTAATTATTCTTTGTTATTTTTAATAGCATTAATATTTTACAAAATAAAGATTATATTTTAAGAGTTTCAGATTTAACTCATATTTCAAAGTCAAACACAAAACTAACCTCTTTTTTTTCTCTCTCCAACTTTTGTTATTTTCTCACAATTTTATCCTTCTCACTTAAACTATTATCGAAAATGCCATTATACATCTAATAAATCGATTTTTCTTTAATTGGCTAAAGTCTTCTTGGACCTTCTAAAAACTTTTTAATTACGAGACTGCCATCGTCTTTAGTATCTTCAACCACCATGAACAACCATGAAAATGGAATAAATGCTTATCAACCTGTTTTAAAGCTGTAATAAAACAAATATCTAAGCTCATTCACTCATAATCTTGCTCATTCTATCATAATTTCTTCTCCAAAACATCTGGGCATAGTTGCAATGCTTCGCGCCATCCTTTTGCGGTGAATTCTGGTTTACTCGACACCTGGGTTGTTTAATTTCAGTGAAATCCTAAGTTCTGGGTAGATAAGAGAAACTTAGGGGAGCTCAATTTTGTCAAAGGTAATTCTCGCACTTCAATTTCTCCACATTTCAGTTTTTATATCGCGAAAGTAGACTTCTCGTGAACTATAGTAAAGCCTATGAGTCAACATAAGGTTATTTTTGCAATTGACTTTTAAAAAGTAGACTTCTTTAAACCTCACGAGAAGTCTACTCGATATCCTTTGAAAACAAAATAAAATCATAGTAGACTTCATCTGACGGCTTAAGAAGTCTACGAAAGAAAAGAGGTTATTTTTGTAGTTGACCGTATTTTGACTTTTTAATGTAGACTTCTAACTGAAGTTTACTGTTTACGTCTGCACACGAAGTCTACATTTAGGTTAATTTTGTAGTTTGACCAAAAACATATAGGTCATTTTTGTGTTTGACTTATGTTTTTCAAAAATTAAAAAATTAAAAAAATTTCAAAAAGCTTCAGTAGACTTCACAAAGAAGTCTACAGTTTGTAGACTTCTTTGTGAAGTCTACTTATTGTGTTCGGTCAAACTTAGAAGGAATATTTTTTTAGTAGACTTCATTGTGAAGTCTACTAAAAAAATTCAATTGCAAAAATAACCTATTTCGTTCCGTAGACTTCTATTTATAAAGTAGACTTCAAACGTAGACTGCCAGAGAAGTCTACTCTTACATGAAGTCTACAATAGAAGTCTACTGTGTTAGTCAACGCGGTGGTCAAATGCAAAAGTAACATTCTTTGCCTGAAGTCTACAACTGAAGTCTACTGAAGAAAAAGTCAACGGAATGGTCAATTGCAAAAATAACATTTTTTTAGTAGACTTCAGTAGTAGACTTCTCAATGAAAAAGTAGACTTCTCCTCCAGTCTACATTCGAAGTCTAAATAAGAAGTCTACTTTCCTATGTTTTTTTTAAAACGCGTTTTAAGCAAATGTATAAAATATTTTTCAAACTTTTTGGTTCAGAATTGCCTCTTATTAGGTGATTGAGCTACCCATTGAATTTTATCTCATTTCATTGGATATTCATGGTGGAATCAGAAGTTTCAATTTTTAAGATACTTAGCTTATAAAAGTAGACTTCGTAGTGAAGTCTACGTTCTAAGTCTACACTAGAAGTCTACGTTTAGACGTTTTTATAAAAACGCCATTTAAGCAAATCTATAAAAAAAATTTCAAATTTTTTTGTTTACAATTGTTTATTAATTAGTGATTGAACTATCTAGGGCTTTTTATTCTGTTTCATTGAATATTTCTTGTTGAATCAGAATTTTCGATTTTTAAGGTACTCAGCTTATCAAAGTAGACTTCATCGTGAAGTCTACTTTGATACAAAAAGTCTCTATGATTGTTTGCTAATACGGTTTATATGGTTATTTTTCAGAGGATGGCTCAAATTCCAGACTTATAATTCTTATCATAATAAAACTTTCTGTTGACTTATACTATCGGTGTACACTTTTCCGCATACACTTTGTTTTGTATACTCGAAAATTACATAACTTAATTATAAGGGTGAAATCGAAAATTTGAAATATTAACATGTTAATAGACTTAATAGACTTCAGTACAGATACAATGACAAGTTAGTAGACTTCAGTCACAGACTTCAGTCGTAGACTTCAGTTTTAGTACAAATCCTAAACGAAAATACAACATATTTGGCAAGTTAATTATAAGATAGGTGGCCAAAAAACTTCCACACCTATTATTTACCAATTGCTAAAATGACCTCCAATCACATGGAAGGTCATTTATGCAAATAGCCCAAAAGTTGCCATAAAAATCAAAGTTAATTTTAAGAACGAAAACACTAAGCTTGCCTATCATAGACATCCAACCCGGTTGCATCTAGCTTATCATGGCCCTTACATCCTGTCGCAGCCAGCTGGCGGTGTCGGGCACTCGTTGCTCGGGAAACTAGCTGAGCCGCTTCTCTGGCTTTGGCATTTTTGGCAAGTGCAACCGCATCGAAGTCTACATCACACGTCTTCGGGTCAATTTCACAAATACTAGGCTCTGGGGCCTCTTCTTCATTAACGGCAGCCTTCTTTCCTTTTGCATCCCCGGGGGTGTTAACACTCTCACACGCACCAACGTTGACATTAGCCCTCTTCGGAGCATCATCTTTCTCTGAATTACTCTGTAGTTTATTGTCAGAAACATGCATGAATATACAAATGAGTACACCAATGCTATAATTTAGTAACATGTTTTATCATAGTCTGAAAATTGTAAACAACAAGTTTTGAAAACATAAGTAAATAATCTCAAATGGTACATAACAGTAGTAAACATGTTCGAATTCAAATGACATTAGTATTAAGTGTTCCTAACTTTGTGTGATCCTGTTCGCATGTAATGTTTTCGTATAGGCGGAGGGTTTTTGGAACTAACCCCTTCATGCTTCTTGGATCCAGTGCCCTGCTGCTGGGTTGGCTCTTCCTCAGTGTGCTTCGCCGACCCTGTAGTCAACTCTTCTACCGCACGCTCTACAGATTCAACCTTCTCGGTGAGAAGTTTGATCTGCTTTTCACAGCTACCAAGACCATTCAGCATCTTGGTTGAAAAGCTTTCGAAGCATTGGTCGAAGTGCGCTTTCATAGTAGCGACAACTCCGACCCCTTCATCACCAACGAATGATGCGGCAGATGCAGAGGCTGTGCAGGGTCTCTTGCGACTTGATTCATCTGAGGGAAGGCTCCTCTTTCAGGCTTCTGACTTGACGATGTGTGCACCCAAAACACCTTCCAAAGGCCAATGGTCTTTTGAGAACTTGGAATTGGGGTCATGGAGTGCATTGACAATCTTTACAATATCTGGATCCTGTTCGTCATCATCCCACACGGGAAACATATCCGCCAAGTCCTTAGCCACGCAGGACTGTATGCGAGCCTGGAAAAACACGATTAATAAATAGATTTAGAGCCATATGAAGCCTCGGAAAACTACGTATGAAGTCTACTCCTGAAATCTAACATAGAAGTCTACCCCTGAAGTCTAACACAGAAGTCTACTCCTGAATGTCACACACTATTAATGACACATATAGAAGTCTACACATGAAGTCTACTTCTGAAGTCTACATTGAAAACTCATTACTACATAGAAGTCTACTACACTAATACAGTACTTGTTTTAGCATGTTGGCTTTGACGTTCCTTCGTCCTCTGGATCCTTTGTAAGCCAGCAAAAGAGGTTCTTCAGTAACATTTGGCAATGGTTCGCCAAATTCAGCAGCAAAATCTGGTAAAGCATAGTAAACCCACAGTTGAAGAGCTTGCACAAATCCTTCTATATGAATGTTTTTGCTGAGATCTTTCTCCTTAACAGAATTGATCAAATGCTGAAAAGCAATTCTTCCCCATGGAAACTCCTTAAAACCTTCGAGATTCATCACTAGTCTGGCATGGTTGACATTTGTGGATGAGCCGGGTCTCGTTGCCACTATGAAACCAGCGTAGATCCCAAGATAACCCAACCGCAGCCTATCATCACGAGACCATGATGAGCAGTTGGAACAGGCTTCGATAATTTTGGTAGTGCTTGGGCCCGACTCGGCATCGACCCCCATTAGCTCCAAAATGCACGCGTGTCATCGGAAAGCGCAAGATCAGTTAAAGCCAAGTCATCCACGTACCCGCAGTTAAGTCCGGTGATCTCCTCAAACTCATGCAATAAAAACCGAACAGGAGTGGTACCAATGAGGCTCCATATCTCGTACCTCTGCTTGCAAACTATCTGAAAGGTCAGCATGTGGTGCACCAGCCTAGAAGCCCAACCAAAATCCAACTCGTGGAACTTTAAAAAGACACCCAACGGTGACTCGTAAATCTCTTCCCATTCATCCTCCTCTAGAGCTGACTTTAGTGCATGGACCAGCCTATAATCATCAGCGTAATAGCCGATGCTTTTATCCGGGACTGGCTCAAACCCTTTGGTGTAAAGTCTTCTGGGGAATTCAGAGGCCATTATCTAACAAAGATTCCTGCGTCAACAGTAACAAAGCTCTAATGAGAAAAACTAGTAACGGTTTGAAACTATACCCGAATGAAGTCTACAGTTTCAAAATGAAGTCTACTTTATTAAAATGAAGTCTACTTTCCCAAAATAAAGTCTACTTTCCCAAAATGAAGTCTACTTTCCCAATATGTGAAGTCTACTTTCAGTAAAAGAAGTCTACTTTCACAAAAAGAAGTCTACTTTCACAAAAAGAAGTCTACTTTCACAAAATGAAGTCTACTTTCACAAAATGAAGTCTACTTTCACAAAATGAAGTCTACTTTCACAAAATGAAGTTTACTTTCACAAATGAAGTCTACTTTCACAAAATGAATTCTACTTTCACTAAAATTACAGTATATGAAGTCAATCTACAAAGTTTAGAGTGTTACCGCCTTTATTAGATGTAGCTGGCGCCGAGAAAATACAACCAGATCTGGTAAAAAAACCTAAGTCAAACCCGACGGAACAAAAATTACAGGAAGATAGAAGAAATTTAAGAATTGCTAAGGATATAACTTCGGAACAACATCTACTAACCGTTTTGAGGCAGAAAATTACTTTAACCTCCAACGGCGAAAGCAAATCTGCAAAAAAAAACAAAAACCCTAATTTCGGATCTCGAAAACGGAACGGTGATGAATACAGAGGAGTAGGGAAGCATGGGGGTGTGGTTGGAGAAAGAAAACTTGCCTGAACGAGTTTATCGGCGGCAGTTCTGAATGTCGACGGCGCCGGAGCAGAGAAACGGAAATTGCCTTCGAGTTTTTTTTTTTACACGAACTTTTCGACGGTTTTTTTTTAACGGGATCTGTAATTCGTATATATAGTCTGGTAATTCCGTACGGTTCGGGTAAGTTTTTTCCGGTTAAAGTTGCTAATTTTTCGGGGTCTAGGTTAATTTACCCGGTTAAGGGCAGTTTCTCTTGGTTAAGGGAAGTTATTTCCGGTTTAATCTCGGTTAAATATCCGTTAGGTTAATTTTTACGGTTTAGTAGACTTCAATATCGAAGTCTACAACTTTTAAAACCTAAATAATAAATTTATTTCTATTTAATTTAAAAACATACATTTCCATTTACCAATGTGAAAAAACTAATTTTTTTGTATTTGGGTTACTATTATGGAATTTATGATGGTAAAATTCAGACCAAAATAATTTTTTATAAATTTTTAAATTAAATTTACAGATTTAATTATTTAGTAGACTTCAGTTTTACTTTAGTAGACTTCGTAAGGGAGAAAACGGTAATTAGGATATCCGTTTTTTGTTTACACATACAGGATTAAATGGTTTTTTCACTACCCCTGTAGATTATATCTGTCAAATGTTTTTTCAGGAGTCTACTTTTGTATTCAAAATCAAATTTTGGGTTATTTTTAGCAAAAACCCCATATTTTAAAATGTTTACTCAAATAATAATATAGAGATTCGTTGGACTCCCCCTTTTAGAACTTGGAGATTTTGTTCATTGTTTCTAATTCTTGAAAGTTATTGTTTCTCGTTGCAGGTTATAAAAGCTTGAGGAGATTAAGAGACCTGGAGATTCTGGATCTCTCCTGGAATAATTTCAACAACAGCATCTTTCCCTTTCTTAACGCTGCTACATCACTCACAACTCTGTTTCTTAGGGGCAACAAAATGGTTGGCCCTTTTTCGGTTAAAGGTATGTTTCCCATTTGTATATATATAGCATGTCCTAATTATTTTAGGGACGATGTATCATTCTTATATTTTGTTGGACTCCATTTCAGAACTCAAAGATTTGACAAACTTGGAACTGCTGGACCTGAGTGCAAACAGTTATAACGGCTCCATACCAGTACGAGGTAGTCCATTAATGCTTGCTCACTTACAACATTTGTTGGATTGGTTTGCCTCGTCCTTGAGATGAACATATCCATATTTTGTTACCTTTGTCTGTGGCAGAGATAACTTCGCTCAGGAAGTTGAAAGCTCTGGATCTAAGTGATAATGAATTTTCGGGTTCAATGGATTTGCAAGGCAAGTTTGCTCAAATATTTCACTTTTTCATATTAAAACAATAAACAAAAACAATAAACAAAGGTTGTGGTTGAATTCACGTTAATCAAAGTGACTAAACTTTTTGCATCTGATTACCTTAGGTATTTGCAAATTGAAGAATATGCAAGAGCTCGATCTCAGTTACAACAAACTTGTAGGTCAGTTTCCCTTATGTTTAACTAGCTTGACTGAACTTCGAGTTCTTGATCTCTCATCAAACCAGTTGACTGGGGAGATCCCATCTGCTCTCGGTAACCTTGAATCCCTTGAGTATTTATCATTGTTAGATAACGACTTTGAAGGCTTCTTCTCATTTGGTTGGCTCGTCAAACTCTCAGAGCTTAAAGTGTTGAAACTTGGCTCAAAATCCAACTCGTTTCAAGTAGATTCTAAGAGTTCCTGGAAACCAAAATTTCGGCTGAATGTTATTGTACTACGATCTTGCAACTTGGAAATAGTTCCTCGTTTTCTCCTACAGCAGAAAGGTTTGAATTATGTTGATCTTTCCGACAATAAAATTTCTGGAAACTTTCCTTGTTGGCTATTGGCGAACAATACAGAGCTCGAAGTTTTGCTTCTGAAGAATAATATTCTTACGAGCTTTCAGCTACCGGAATCTGCTCATGATCTAGTTGCCCTTGACGTGTCAGTCAATGAATTCAATCATATGTTTCCTGAGAACATTGGGTTGATACTTCCACATTTACGGTATATGAATATATCGAAGAACGGCTTTCAAGGAAATCTGCCATCTTCTCTGGGTAACATGAGTGGGATTAAAAGTCTGGATGTATCTCACAACAGTTTCCAGGGAAAGCTACCAAGAAGCTTAGTAAAGGGTTGTTATAACTTGGCTTACTTGAAGTTGTCACATAACAAACTAAGTGGAGAGGTTTTTCCAGAATCAGCAGAGTTATATGATTTACGTTGGCTGTATATGGATAACAATCAGTTTACAGGAAATATTGGACAAGGTTTGCAGAACTTGACATTTTTGCATATCCTTGATATATCGAATAACAATCTCACGGGTGTTATTCCAAGCTGGGTTGGCGAACTTCCAAGGTTATATGCAATACTGCTTTCAAACAACTCGTTGGAAGGTGAAATACCTACGTCGTTGTTCAACAAAACTTTTCTTCTGCTATTGGACCTCTCTGCAAACAGTTTATCTGGGGGATTACCTCCACACGTCGATTCTACAAGGCCGGTAATATTGCTCCTGCAAGACAATCATCTATCAGGAGATATTCCAGACACATTTCTAGGACATGTCAGCATACTTGATCTGAGAAACAACAGATTGTCTGGGAATATACCGGAGTTCATCAACACCCAAAGCATCAGTGTTCTTCTTCTCCGAGGGAATAATTTAACAGGACGCATTCCTCGCCAGTTGTGTGGCCTAAGAAACATCCAACTTCTGGATCTTGCCAACAACAGATTGAATGGATCCATACCTTCATGTCTCAGCAATACATCATTTGCTTTGGGGAAAGAGGATGATGGATTCGATGGTTATGGTTTCATTTATGGTACAATTAGTGATTATTATGATGATGTCGATATATATTTCAAACCTCTTCTTGAGCTAGCTCCGCTTTCTTCGCAAATCGTGGTAGCCACCCAGACGAAAGTTGAATTTGCAACAAAACATCGATACGATGCCTACATGACGCGTGGAATTCTCAAATATCTGTTTGGGCTAGATCTCTCTGAAAATGAGCTAAGCGGTGAGATTCCAATAGAGCTTGGAGGTCTTCTAAAGATACAAGCTCTCAATCTTTCTCACAACAACTTATCAGGAGGGATACCAGAAAGCTTTTCAGGTCTGAACAATGTGGAAAGCCTTGATCTTTCCTTCAACAGATTACAAGGCCGGATCCCATCAAGACTAGCAGATCTGAGCAGCCTAGCTGTGTTCAATGTCTCATACAACAACTTATCAGGAGCCATTCCACTGGGAAGACAGTTTAACACCTTCGATACACAAAGCTACTTAGGTAATCCTCTTCTCTGTGGGAAACCAACCGACATAAGCTGCAACGGTAACACCATTCAAGCACCAGATAATGTAGCCAGAGATGAAGAAAGCACAATCGACATGGTTTCTTTCTACTGGAGTTTTGCTGCAGCCTATGTTACAGTACTTCTTGGAGTACTTGCATCTCTCTCTTTTGATTCTCCTTGGAGTAGGTTTTGGTTCTACACGGTTGATGCTTTCATCCACAAGGCGAGGAATTTGTTGTGGTAAACTACTGTTAGTGTCCATTCCATTAATGTGCCCCATCTGTTGCTGTTCTTCTCAAAACCTCTTGCTTTGTTTCACAAAACCAGAACAGAACATGTTTGGTTCCTCTGTACTGTCTTTGAATAAATGTAATGCCTCAAACATTCCTAGAGCTTGTTTTGAGGTTGATTATGAAGAACAAGAACTTCCATGAAAAAAAAAAAAAAAAAAACTCATAAGTAGGAAAAAAAAATACAGAGACTTTTCCGTTAGTTCTCTTGCTTCTATACCGCTTTATAGTTTTATTTCAGGTAACCATCTCAAGAACTTCAGTCACAATATATGATTATGAATCAGCAGAGCAAAAGAAAGACCAGAGAGAAACACTTAACACAGTTAAAGAGTTAGCGTACGAAGAGTAATTACTAGTGTATATATCTAGTCTTTCTTCAACAGCCTTAGCTACTGGTCCGTGAAAAGCGTTCTTCGCCTTCCTGACTTTGCTTGCAGACGGCCAGTCTCCGCATGTACGATCTCATTCACCAGATCCTTGAAGATAAGCCTCTCCACATCCAGCACCAATCCTGAGATTTCTCCATTGAAGTCCACCCAATTCCCAGACCGAACCATCACATCTTCTGCTAGTATACTTTTCAAGAAGTCGTCTTCTTCCTCCAACAAGAAGTTTTCTGATCTCTTTGTGGCTTGCTTTTGCAGTGTTTCTATCTCTGAACACAGTTCTTTCAGTAGCTGTTGCGCACTCATGGCTTTCTTAGTCATCTTAGTTGATGACTTCATCAATGGATTCATCGTGGCTTCAACCGAAGCTAGTTTCTCCACAAGAATTTCATTAACGGTGTCAAACACAAGTTTGCGGTTGAGCTTCTCCTTGTTCAAAACCTTGTTTTCTTCTTTGTGTAACAGATGCGTAGAGCTGCTTCCCTTTGTCTGCTCAAGAACAAAGAACAGCTCTGGGTTGATCGGGTGGCCTGAAGGGTGTAGTTGAAACGTTGTTAATCCTGAGCCAAGATCTCGGAGGAGGAGACCTGAGGCTAATAGAATCTCGGAGATGTATCTGTGATCGGTGCTAGGATCTGTGTTCTCACAGAGTGATGCAATGTAATCTTGGCTGGCTTCATCATGGCTAGAGTTCAGTCGTCTGAGCTTTTGAACCAAGTGCTCAACATTCTGAAGCTTCTTGCGGTTTATCTCTGGCGAAAAGCTTGATGTGGTTTCTGAGAAACTGTAAGCTGGATTCCACTGGTCCTCACAATGGTCATCACCAGAGTCATGGGCAACATTACCTATTGTACATGGTCAGTTCTGAGTCAGAAATTGAAGTTAACTGAACATTTAGAGAATTTGTAAAAGACAAAACTTTCCCCAACTAAGCAAGCTAAAGACAGATGTAAGAGTTTAAACCCCTGGTCAAAGAATCTTAATGTGACTTTGATATATACAGTGTTTATGACCATGCTACCTTGTGTCTTCACAGGAGATGGTTCAATCTCTCTGTAAATTGAGGAGTCGAGAACAGAAATAGGACTTGGATGTTCCAAAGCAATTAGTGAAAGGTTTGCTGACGATCCATCTTCACTAAACCTTGGACTGGATTTCTAAAAACACCAAAACAAAAAACTTGTGAGAAATTTTAACTCAAAATATTTTCAAATCAAACACTAAAAAATACCAAGGAGGCACAGAACTCACATTCTGCATTAAGTTAGAGACTACAGCTTTGGCTGCCTCGATTATAGATGGACTTTTACCACCATCGGCTTCAGTTGCTTGTTCTACACCAGCAGCGGCTTCTGCTTCAGATTGAGTACACATATCATGGCTTGACGTCCTAGATTCATTGCTCGCTTGACTAAGTTGATCATCATTTTGCTGCAAATTCTTTTGAGCCTTGGGTCTACGTCTGCCACCAGGAGAAGTAGATTCCGCGAGTTGTCGGTTTGATGGTTTCATTGATTTACTAGAATCAGATGGAGGGGTTGGTGGCCGTGAACGTTTGTCATACTCAAGCTTCTTCTGCTGCAATCTTGGACTTACAGATCCTGAACTCTTTGAAGTACTTTCTTTGGGAACCTGATGAGGCTTCTTTGAAGAAGACCGCACATTTCTGCTGTCAGATTTCTTATCAACAGAGCTGATACATGATTCAGCTCTTGCCCTTCCAGGACTACAGTCTTTTGTAGTCCGTTTACTACTTGTTGAAGTTCCTTTATCATCAGGTTTTTCTCTTCGGATCTTATTAAGTCCAGATAGACTATGAATGGGAATAAGGGATGACGCAGGAATACCAGCCTTCTCAACAAGTTTAGCAGGTTTCATTATCACAATCGGGGATTGATATACCTGGTTAGATGAAAATGAAGAAGACGGGGCTCTCGTTCTGGATGACATCGCTTGGTTGGAAGTCACAGAATTTGCTCTTTCGTAATCTCTTTGAGCTGCCAAGTTTGAGGATTGTGGTTGTTTTTCTGTGTCCAGGAAACCCTTTGATTGCATAGCCTCTAATATTTGTTTAAGAGCTCGCAGATCTTTTCCCGAATGTTTGAACTCAAGTTCGTTCAATCTCCTCTCCATTTCACTGTACACAGTAGGAGAAAATTTCTGTACTTCAGACGGCGCTGCTTTCACAGGCATGCTAGCTTGCTTCTGCAAAACCCGGTTTCTATCAGGTTGCTTCCATGGAGCTGGTTCAATGGGAAATCTTGAGCTTGATAGAGGTTTCATAACAAAATCAGAGTTTCTCCATCTTGGAGAAGACGGATCCTTCCCCAAGCTTCTCGGTGAGCTAGGAGAAAACCGGATTGTACGGTTCAGATTTTTCTCCCTCAGTGATCTTGAGAATGGATCGTTGTTATGGTCGAAAGAGTCGATTTTGTTCAAACCAAACTGATGGATGTCTCTACCCAATGGAGAACCCGGCAATGTCTCCAAGCCCATGAGCTTTGCAACAACACTGGGAGGCCGTTTCTTGTTGCTGCTTGAGCTTCCGCTGGAACTTTCAGAAAGCCTACCTGATTTAAGATCAACACTGGAGTTTCGCACCACTCGTTCTTTACTATCCAGAGAAAGCCTAGGCAACTCTTTCAACTTCTGTCTGGATTTCAACGTATCGTGAGAATCAACGGAGTAACGAGGTGCATCTTTTGCTCCAACCTCATTATAATGTTGAGGTGATTCTCTAAGTCTAGCTAGAAATCTGAATGACTCATTGAGATCAGCAGGTGTAGATTGCTTCAAACCATGAGGCCTTGGAGAATCCTCTCTTCTGCTGCGTCTAACTACTTCCTCTCTTGTCATAGGAGTCTTAATCAAAAGCCCTCTGGCTTCTCTATACATAGAGTCTCTCACAACATCTCTGAGGTCAAGTCCTAGATGTGAAAATCCATTCCCTTCTGCCATCTCAGGATCGCTTGTAGGAGATTCTGGGAAATTGGCTTGGTCATAGGCACAAGCTTCAGGTGGAACTCCTCTATTGAACTCAGAAGACGATAGGGAGGACGAGCACGAAGATGAAAAAGAAACCCTCGATGATTCTGTTGAAACCCTTTGCTTCTCTTTCACATTTGTACCAATGTTTGAGTCCTGAAACTGAAATGCAAAAGCCTTAGGATCTTATAGATAATCTCGGTATGAATGAAAATTGTAGATCAACCATAGAATTATCTTACAGTGTCTTTTGTTTGATAACATGTGTCAACAGTCTCTCTCTCAAAGTTGATACTACTGGCATTTCCATTACCTGAAACAAACACATAAAACAAGCTTGAGGATCAAATCGAAAGCCGATTACGCATTGAGAGAAACGAATAATAAACTTATAAGAACCTGCAAGTCAAAGTTTTATTTATCACATTTGGTTGGAAGCTAACTGAGCCTAAAGGTTAATAAAAGTCAAAATCTACCAAGAAAAAGACGGCCAAAAAGGAAATTTAATCTAACCAAAAGATTCGGCAGATCAACACCACTGAGAAAGAAAACAAAACCAGATCTTTAGATCTCTGAGAATGTAACAAGACCTGATTAATGAAAGAATCACACCACAATGCCAGATGCAGAACCAAAACAAAATAGAGAAGATCATACAAAAAGGAAAGCAAAATACATGAGTTAAAAATTACTTATGTGACCGTATACAAGTCAACGACTACGAGACACGAACCATAGAGAGCAGAAGAGAGTGTTTAAAATTATCAAATATTTAATATTTTTACCTAAAGTAAGGCTTTTTCGCCTGCCTGTGAGAACATGGTGACGATCAAAGATTTGAAAAATCCCATTCATACATCCAATTTGCTTCTGCAGATCTGCACTATCATCTGCCAATGAATGCAGAAGCTTCGCAGCCATTTCTATAGATAACAAAACAATTCTCCGGCGCCGGAACTTTCTGCAGAAAGAAAAAGGACTACTTTTTTTCGCTTTCTTCTGCCTTGTGTTCCCCCTTTTACTCTTCCCTTTATTGATTTCCAAAGAACCCTAACTTTTTGCCTCAATGATGTGTTTGCAATAATTTGGAAGAGATGGCTTTTAAAGCTTTCTTTTTACTTTCTCTATCTCTATCAGCAACAGTAACCACCATTAAAACCATAACGAGAATGATGCACCTTCCATATTTATATAACTCCAAAGTTTTAGCCTTTCTCTTTGTAGAAAACTTGGAACCCGTTCAATTTTTCAAATCAGAACCCCCCATTGTTTCTCCAGCTAATCAGAAGCTTCAAGAAACCCAAATTCACAAATTAAAAAAAAAAAAATCTAATCTTTTGGATCAGAATTATGAGTCTCACACTAATAGCAACCTACGGATCTAAAAGAAATAAAAAATTTGCGCCTTTTTACAAACCTAGATTCCCAGATTCCACTGAATATAAAAAGGAGAAGGGAGAAAGATAAAAAACCCTTTTGGAAATTGGATCCAATCTTACAAGAATCTAACCATAAACAGAAAGATGAACAAACACACTAAAACATGTGTTGTAGTTTGTCTGAAAAAGATCAGTCTTAAACACACAGAAATGTGCGTTTAAATCTACAGAACCAATGAAAAGAAGGGAGAAGAAGAGTTGCAGATGAAGAGAGAAACCGCCAAATGAAGAAGAATAGATTATAAAAGAAAGGAACAAAGGAATCTCATCCAGATCCAAGAAGGGACTAAATGTTCCTCTGTTTGTACTCTCACTGGTAACTGCTCAGAGCACAAACCGGAAATGTAGCCACATACAGCTTATTGGAGAAATGAAAGGATTCTTTTCTATTTTTCTTTTTCTTTTTCTTTTCTAAATAAAATGTAGAAGAAAATGCTCTTTATTTTCCCCCAAAACCCAAGAAATTTCAGATTATCTTATTAGTATACTTATTAGATAAAAAAAAAAGTTGGAAACTAAAAACATTGGAAGTTGTATGTGGAGTTACAGAGGCTCTCCATCTCACGAAAGCATGTGAGAGAGTGGATGGATCTGGTTTACTTCTCCACATGTGACCTCTTTGTCAGGTCATCAAGATATCCACAGAATCATTCATTTCTTTCAATCTTTTTTTCCTTTTTTGTCACCAAATTCTTTTTATACATTTATAAAGATCTCGGATTTGAGACTGGAAATTTTACAAATGGTCACAGTATTAGAGGTCCGCAATTCATAACAACAAAAAAAGTTTATTTTTACATAAAGAATCATCATGGTTAGATTGTTTTCCATTGAACACACAGTGATATTTTTTCTATGATAAATATGGCATACATCTTATGAATTTAATTATTAGTATATTTTTTGTTCTAAACTTATTAATATCATATGAATTATATATCTTTATATTTTAATTATTAATATATTTATAACCCAGAAGCTAATATATCAAAATTCAAATTATTTCATTCATAATAAAAAGATTGCAACAGATAAGTCAACATGGATCGTGTTAGGTCTCTACCAAAATAAATGAATGCTTTTTCATCTCAACACTTTTTTTTTTGTTGACATCACTAGTTTTGTTTTAAACATGAATTTTACGTTCAGTTTTATACTAGTTTTGGTTTTTCGCCACCATCAAAACGAAACCAAATGTGTTTCAATCAAAAATTATAAATATGAATATAATTAGAGAAAAATATCGCAATTTTGTCTTTAATTTTGCCGGTAAGGTCACGGAATTGCATTAAATGCCATCCGCAAAGGTAAGTAAAACCAAAAGAAATGTTTAAGTGTAACCAAATACTATAAACATACAACTTTTCCCGCAGGTTCTCTAATTTCTGTTTTTCTTTACAAAACTCGTCACTTTCTTCTTCTTTTCTTTCAGACGAAAAACTTGTCCTTTTCTATATTCCCTTTTGCTTTATGTAGTTTATTTTCTCGCGTCAAGATATCCCCAGTTTTTTCATCTCAACACCTTATTCTTGTTGTTCCTCTTTCTTGTCATTTTCGACTCATAATTATAAAAATTGACAACCATATAAATTTTGTTTGACTTTTCTTTCTCCACTTCATTTTCGTATTCGTACATGGCATACTGTAAAAATTGTAGTGTCTAGTATAGCTTGAAACAAAAAAAGAGAATAGCCACCACAAATCATTAACTTTAATCATTTTATATTTTAATAAGACAAATCTTGATTTGTAAGAATTTTAATTTAGAGCCACTAAGCTGATAAAAGAGTCTTGATTATTGTGTAAACATAAAGTAGCAACTACTGTTTATTTTTTCTCATAGTGGAACCTCTTTAAAGAAAATTATTCGACTTTTGCATGGAACTTACTAAAAGCAATATTGTGGAGTATTATAAGAAACTTATGGGTTTAATATACACTTACTAATAGTACTAAATTAATTAGTCGCAAAATTAGTTGGAGAGTACATGCTTTACTGGGTTGCCAACAAGGACAATTTGGATTTTGCATTAACCTGATCTCCCAATGATATATCACACATTTGTGAAGTTTTGAATTCGGAAGCCATTTTGACTGGTTTTATTTTTGTAACAAATTTTGACTGATTTTTTTATTTATTATTATTATTTTAGAAACAATGATTATGAGAAATTGTACTCAGCATGTTACTCACGGGAATGAGGTAAAAGAACAAAAGTTTTAGACACACGTCATATAATTAGAGAAATAACTACTGTTGGTAATATAGCGATTGAAGTGGTTATGTATAATTTTCTACTTTCTTTAGCATTTACTCTTCGTTGGATCCAAACGTATAGACAAGAATCTTAGCTATATACTCTCTCTGTTTCATTATAGTTGATTTTTTAGGTTTTTTTTCTTGTTTCATAATATTTGATTTTCTACATCTAAATGCACATCTTTTCTTTAAGTTGAATGAATCATATTTATGCATGTTGCTTTACAAAACTTATTAATTGTAAGCATTAATTAAAAGAGAGGAGATGAAAAGCTCAGATTAAAGTAAAAACCAGTAATACTAATAAAAGTAGTGAAATTAATTGTAAAAATAACCTAATTAAACAAAATAAACCCAAATAATTGAGCATTTATAACTTTTTTAATCTGTGTGCAAATATTCAGAAAATCAACTGAAACAGGGAGTATATGTGTATGTGTATGCAGTATGGTGCATATAAATGCGCACACAACAGTCAATGATGGTATAAATAATTAACAATTTCCAAAGCTACAAATATTATATTATTATATGTAAAATTAATCGTGGCATAGGTAAAGTTAAAGCTGGTCTTGGTCAAAGATTATGAATGCTCAATCATCGAGGCACATGGTTTCACGCCGTTAATGATTTGTCAAAAACTTGTAATCATCGAATTTTTGTCTCTTTACGTTATAAAACACATATACATATGCATATGTATACACTGATCAATGGGTTACATTTATGTCATTAGTCATAACAAAGACAAATGTTAAGCGTACTCATAGTTGATGAAAATGCGTGAGAGAGAGAGAGAGGGAGAAACAGAGAGAGAAAAACGATTTATTTGTTTAATATATTCAGTAAATCGTCCTAATCATAGTTTCCATATAAGGCAAAACTTATTCCTGAAGAAACATAGACTCGCTCTTTAAGAAAGTGTAGAGAAGAGTTTAGGCAAGCCAAAGTAAATTGCCTGTCACCTGTTAAGTTTTTTCAAAAGTAACATTTCTGTTTCTGTGCGTGTTTTTGCTTGTGCAAAACTGAGTTAATGAATTGTTGTTTTCTATAGAAAGAAAAAAAACTCGAAAGGCATAACTTCTGCTTGCAAAATGTGAAACTAAAAAGGAATTATAACAGTAACAATAGAGTAAAAGCTGTTTTTTTGTATTGCAGAGCTTTTCAAATACAAAAACAGCAACAAAGGACTTCAATTCAAGAGTTAGCTTCTTCTACTCATCTTTAACTTTCTTCTACGTTATCTCCATCCATAATCCAAATCCTATCTCCGGCTGCTACTGTACTGTACAACCCCTAAAAGATCCTTCATGTTGTTAATGCAATTGCGGTTGTTGCTCTGCATTTGAATCTTCCGCAGTAACTGTTTCCTCATCTGTTCAAAACAAGGAATTGGATAACCTTTATAACCAATTGTTAAGAACGACCTGTTGAATCATATGTCTATTCATGAATCACCTTGGTTTTGTGGCGAAGAATCTCCTCCAGGTCCAGCTTTATCAGCAGCACCAATGTCTGTTGATATCCCATTTCTCAATGGTTCTACATTCGTCTGATCAACCGTAACTCGTGATGGTTCTGCGTTCACAATGTCCTGCAGAGCATCCTGTATATATTCTGTTAAGAAACAGCATGATTCCAAATAGCTGAAATCGTTGGAGATAATATTCCACCATACCATATCAACTTGAGAAGGATCTTGATCTTTGACATCAGAGGTAACAGCAGGGGTTTCTGCGTCATGTGTTCCCGTCATGTTTATATTAGCATCCGCAGTGTCAACCATGGATGTGACCATATAGTTTGAATCTGCAACCTTCTTATTAGCATCATCAGAAGGAGGACCAATAGGATCAGCTTGTTGGCTACTACTACCTGCTGAATCCTTGCTCAAAGTTCTCTGTGACTTTGCTCTATTATCACAATCGGCATCCAACAGAGTAGGCCTTTTCCTGCTAACAATCAACAGAACAACCATGCTTTAGAAAAAATGCGGCAAAAGAGAAACTATAACCTGAGAAAAAAAGAAAAAACACTTGCCTACTACTAAAGCTTTGATCTGCCGTTTGAACAGAGCTGTGTCTGTTTGAAAACAAAACACCGCGAAGCACCTTCCCATCAATGATCGTTTCTATAGTGTAACCTACAGGGGTGTTTTCGGTAACCCTGGCTTGAAAAACTGTTTTCCCTTGATCAATCTGGCCAATTCTCAAAGGCAGATTCGCTCTTCCTACAATAAAACCATAAAAAGCAAACTGAGTGTTCTCATATTTACAACAAATGCTACTCGTTTCCAATAAAATCTCGATTAACGTAAGAGTTCCGCGTTAGCACACCTTGATCAGTATTGGTTCTGGCCACATCTAAGTTCTGCCCTTGGCATTTAAGCTTCATTTGTTTCCTTAGAGACAACTTCCCTGGATTTTGATCAAACCTTGCATCGTATCCACCTTCTGTTGGCCATAGGCAAAGACAATTAGGAGAGTATTTAGCAACCTTGCACAAAAGAAAATGTGCTATATCCAAATACAGAACATTAACTACAGATACCAAAAAAAAATCGGTGTAAAAACGAAAGGTGGAAACTCGAAACAAACCTGTGTGTAGGTAGTATATGTCATCCAACGGCTCAAGGTTCTTATTGCAGCCACCAATAAAGAAAAATAAACCAGCCTTGTAAGGACCCAAACAAACCGCTGCAGCAGAGAATCTAGCAGATGGGCCTTCTTCCATGGCAACTACTTTGGACCATACACCCGTTTCTACATAAACAAACCGAAAATGATATTTCTTTTTGATATCAGAAGCCAGATAAAGCAATTGAAAGCTTGAGGTTTCTGTCTCAGTTACATACCCACATCAAGCACATAGAGATCATCGTAAAGATTCTGAGAATCTGTAAACCCGCCAAATACAAATAAGTTCCTCTCAAGTGCAACAGTGACATGACCGGCTCGAGGTGTTAACAGCTGCCCTGAAGTTTTCAGTTCCTTCCATACAAGTGTATCTGAAAATATCGAAAAGACATATCAGAAGACATACACAGCACGCATGAAAGAAGATGTGATCAAAGAATGCTTTTTGCACCTGTATCAAGGATATGAACATCCGAGAGATAATAGTCATCCAAATCTTCACCACCTACTACAATGATTTTGTTCTTCCACGTTGAGCAAGTGTGGCTATCTCGTGCAGTGGGTGGTTTCCCAGCTGTTGCAGCTCGTTTCCACGCCAATGACTCTAAACAAAATTCAAACCAGTTCAGATACATGCGTTTAGTTCAAACAAAAAATATTACATGCGTCCAAAAAACCAAGAACCAGAATCTCTCTCAGCTTCCATATCAATTAACATAAATAATATGAAGAGGATTAACAATGATACTGAATGAACAGCCTGAAGCTATACCTGTGTTAAGTATGTAAAGGTCATTATAGAATACTTCATCATCCGAACCAGAAGATTTCCCACAGCCGCCAAAAATAAAAATGCGTTTGTCAACAAGCGTTGCACTATGAGCCTCTCTTGCCTCAGGTCCTTCGCCTCTAACATCCTGGCTTCTCCAAGTATGTGAAGCTATCAAAAAAACAATAAGAAACAACCCGAATAAAGAATTGAATTCAAACACAAAAACCTCAGACTAGAAGCATTTAACACAAGCATTTTCTTGATCTAACCAGACAACAAAAGAAGAGATGGAAGAGCGTACAAGTATCTAGAATGTGCAGATCATTAAGATGCTTGGTCCCATCAGTACCACCAAACACGAAAAGGCTATCACCGACTGTTGTACAGCTGTGACTGTCTCTCGGAGAGGGCGGTACGCCTTTGATCTCCGGCTGAATCCATATCTGCGTTTCTGCAACCAAATTACCACAAATGAGACTGTTCCAACAGTAAAGATTTTGAAAACAGGACTCAGCAAGTAACCACAAAACATCAACACAACAGCACCCCAACGATTAAAAAAGCTAATCTTCAATCAATCAAATACGGTATAACAA